ATATTCATGTAGTTGTCAATTGTTATTCCTAATATCAGATTTTAAACAAAATATGCAATTCATTAAATTATATCTTATAAAAGTTGTCCTATTTTTCTATGACTGTTGATTACATTACAACTTCCTATTTGATTATCGTACTTCTTTTTAATATTTATCTCCCACTTTTTATTTAACAGATCAATATCGGGAAGAATAGTGGGCAGCGTCTGGTGGTTTTTCACGCTGATTCTCATCTCCTCGTACACTGCCAACTTAGCCGCGTTTTTAACTGTCGAAAGAATGGTCGCACCGATTAACTCGCCGGAAGACCTGGCTTCCCAGACGGAAGTGCAATACGGCACGCTATCTCATGGATCAACTTGGGACTTTTTTCGCGTACGTATCACAGTATTAAATTTAATGAAACAATTACGAGCACATAATTAATACGAAAGATATATTAATAAATTATTGTTTCCTTCTTTGTACAGAAATCGCAAATTAGCCTTTATAGTAAGATGTGGGAGTTCATGAATTCTAGAAAGCACGTGTTTGTGAAAACGTACGACGAAGGTATACGGAGGGTGAGAACGAGCAAAGGGAAGTACGCTCTTTTGATTGAAAGCCCAAAGAACGAGTACATAAATGAGAGGGAGCCTTGTGACACGATGAAGGTCGGCAGAAATCTCGATGCCAAAGGTTTCGGTGTTGCCACGCCACTGGGATCTCCCCTAAAGTAATCATTGTTTTATTTCCATATTAATTTTTCTTCTCTTTAATTATGTCTGTATTATTGGTTTTCACTTTTAACTCATGTTATTATCTTCTATTACTTTAATAACGATCTTTAAATACATTCATGAAAAATATTAGGAAACATAATGGTAAAAAAAGATATTTGTGATTCAAGAACTGTGATAAATATTATGAAATTCATTTATTCTCTGAGAATGATATGACGTATGATTCAGAAGATCGATTTATTGTACAGGATAGAACAAAAAATTTCAATAATTCTTGAAAGAGCACGAAGGGTGTTCGCCACTCAGGGCGCATTAAAGTAAACGTAACGCGGATTGAATGGAAATTCAGGTTCGACCTATTTCTTCAATATGAAAGCGTAATTAACGAGGTTTTGTAGCTATCAGGAAGAAGCGAAACACCTCGCCTGCCCTAATTTCAAATTCCGTCTGTCCCCCTTTTCAAAACACGCGACGATCTTCCGTGCAATTAGCATAGAAAAACTCGTACAACCTACGCCCGTTTTTCCGTATCATTACCGCTTAAGGGAGGAGACCACCCGTTCTTAACAAACCAATTCAATCTCGTTGAACATCCCACACCTTGCCCGGTTAACATTCAATTTGTAATTCAACGGATACATGTCGATTTTATTACATTCACTCAAGACACAATCGCTTTCTGCTTTCTTTATCATCGTTTTAGTTAATGTATAAAACTTTAAATCAGAAGATAAATAAATTCATAATACTCTTCCTAATTTCTTGTTTGTCTATTATATTAAATCTATCAATTATAATAATTAGAATCTATCAATTATAATAATTATATTAAATCTATCAATTATAATAATTAAAATAATTTAGAATTTTTAAAACTAATTATATTTTTATTTTATCTTATATCAATTCGGTTGTTGCAGGGATCCCATAAATTTGGCAGTATTGTCATTGAAAGAGAACGGTGAACTGACGAAACTGGTAAACCGATGGTGGTACGACAGAACGGAATGCAGGCACGGTGACAAGCAAGACGCTTCCAGGAACGAATTGTCGCTGAGCAACGTGGCAGGAATATTCTACATCCTGATCGGTGGTTTACTCCTAGCATTGGCCGTCGCGTTACTAGAATTCTGCTACAAATCCCATACAGAAGCGACAAGAGCGAAGGTAACAAAATAAGTAACACTAACCCCCCCTACCTAAGGAACACTGTCCTATTACTAATCATTAATCACGTTCCAGTATAGTGCACTATAAAAAGAAGCTTAAGAAAAATTCTATTCGTTTAACTCGCGATTTTGCAGATACCGTTGTCGGACGCGATGAAAGCGAAAGCCCGACTGACGATCGGTGGCGGCCGAGATTTCGACAACGGCCGGGTAAGTGGCATCAAAACTCGTTCCCGCCCTTAAATCGCTGTTATCGATCGCACGCGGTTACTAAAAAGCGTTAACAAGCTCGTAGAATCGCGTTGGCGAGGGTCACGCAGCCAGAAAATTGAATAAAATCGTACAGCCCCATATTTACTTCACAACCGCACGCAAGGGGGTGAAAGGAAATCATTATTTCCGTACGAGGGACGTTTTTATTCTTTTTCCTGTACGCCCCTAACCAACGGTCTCAACGTGTCGCGTAGTACACGTCCGTGTAGCGCGGCGGGTCAGAGACGGGCTGTGCATTGTGCATACTCGTGTAATGCAACGAACAATATATACATATTACATAGTATGTACATGTATGCATAGAGGCGTACAATAGAGTATGTTTGGCATGCAGTTAGCAGCGTGTATACGTTCGGCGTACGCCCATACATATTGTGATTGAGAAGCGAGCGGGTATCGAGAATTTCGAACATGGACGTGATTCTCGAAGGTTGTTTCAGCGGCATGATCGACCCAAGAACAACGATCGATCGTTTACTTATATATCGTATATACATACGAGATATGTATATAGATTTTACATGCATATGTGTCTAACGACAAGTAGAATATACATATATATAAATAGATAGACATATGTATATGTGAATAAATAAGTACATATATACATACGAACAGATATATTATGTATAAATAGATAGATACATATGGGTAGGTAGATAGATAGATAGATAGATAGATATATATATATTATACGTACATGCGTGCGATGTGCGTCTGGCTGGATGTGTTGCGCTCTTTTATAATACTTTCTCTCTATCTATACCTCTTCGATTTTCTCTATCCATCTTTCACTTCGTAACTCGATTGAATGCAGGAGACGTAATTTTTGCTCGGTTTGCGCGTTTCGTTCTACTTTTGTTTTTTTCTCTAGTGGTACGGACTGCAGAGTTAGACGGAGGATGCATGCGCCTTTCCCGGGACCATAAGTGAGTATGAGTACTCTTAGCTCTTAATTTTAAAAACGTCCCGCCGCGTCGTATCGTTCAAAATATACGTTCGTCGTGTCTATTTTTCTCTCTCTCTCTCTCTCCTACTTTCTCACGTGCTCAAAACACTCTCTTATTCACCGTCTGTCTTCCACATTCTTTTGATTAAACACTCGACTCTTGTCTTCATTATCTATTTACGTGTTCAACTTTTCGACGAGCTTTCATACTTACTACTTTCAATCAATGGCTTCACATTAATAAATNACACACGTAGATAGCATTTTCCTAGTATTTTCAAACTTCACAATTAAACCTATTAATACATGTTATACAATGACAACCTTACAAATAATTATTTCGTTTAACATAGTACACACAGTACAGGTCTTTATTGCTATGATTTATCCCAGTGGCTCATGACATTGATCAAGCACCGAAGATAATTGTTAATCTCTATTTAAATTTGATGAATCGCACGAGCCACTGTATTTATACGAGCAGTACACAGTAGCGTGGAACCCGTCCGCAGTTCACTCACTCACAAACGAGAGCACCACCACACGAGATACGCACCTCGACTTTCAGCTCACCGTGCAGAAACACGGCACGCCTAACGCGCGACCATTGGATTTCCAGTACTACGCTCCAGCAAACGCGATTGGGAATACGGAGGGCGACCAAGTACACAGCAATACGCATACCCAAGTATAAATTACGAGGAGAGCCCAGGCGAGTCGCCCGCCATCTCCCTGCCCACGCCACCACCGCCGCCGCTGACGGTGGCCCTGCCTACGCCGCCGCCACCGCCGCCGAGGAGACCGGCACGGAGGAGCGTGACCTTCGCGGAGTCGCCGCCGAAAAGCCCGAAGAAGTTGCGGTTCTCGCCGTTCCTCCGTAGGCCGAGCATCACGATGCTAGACGTCGCGGTGCCCTGGATACCGGCCTCGCCGAGCGTCTGGTCCGGCCGTCCCGGCGACTACAAGCCCGAGTACATCACGTAAACCGAGCACGGAACCAACCAGAAACCAGAGCACGGAGCACGGAAAGCTCCTGCCCTTCTTGCGGGCCGGCCGACCGGATCGCCGCCGAGACGATCGACGGCCCGACGAGATCCGAACGACGATCCAACAATCCTGAGCAACGCGTTTGCCGCTAGTCGAATATCCGCGACACTCGCCTTCTCGACGCCATCCTCGGTTTCAAATCGGTTCCGCGTACACGGATTTTGGGAAGTCCTTTTTATCGGACGTCGTCCACCGTTCGCGTTTTCAAGTTCCTCGAATCGTACTGCCACACGTGATTTGAGATCGTCGACGACGTCCGGACTCGACCGAGTCCTCCTGAAACGATTTTTTGTTCCCACAGCGAACCGGGACCGATTGACTCGAGGGGGTCACTCGAGAGAAACGCAGAAAGAGAGACAGAGAGAGAGAGAGAGAGAGCCGTATCACGGCTGGTCAGCGAGGAATTTTCCTATCCGAATACATTCAGGTGGAAAGGTGAAACGGTGCGGGAATAAATCCTCGTGGCCGGTCGTGTTTGTACATTGTATATATGCATACGTTGTAATCGAAATCGAGATCGAGGTCGAATCAAAGGAGTGGAGGTAAACGACAGCGCGTACGACCGGCCACTGGCGACGAGAACAGGTCGCGAAATTCGATAGTAGAATTCGATGGTCCTGGGGTGGGTGCATGTGCAACCAGCAACTCGAAACTGACACACTCAACTGCCATTTCCGTAAGAGAGTGAGTGAACAAGAGAGATTGAGCCCCACACACGCGACACGCGTACATGTTTATATATGCATACACGCAATCTGCGAGGAAGTGTGTATTAATGCAGGTCGACCGAAAATTACTTAAAGAGAACGAACAAGTAACTGCAGAAAAATCGAGAGAGAAGCAGTGGAAATATCGTCGAGAGAATAAGTTCAAACAAGAAGAGAGGTCCATATGGAAAGCAGGAGACAGGTCGACTGCAACGTGACACTACTATCGTTATTATTATTATTACCGCGACAGCTGTATAAGATTTATTACAGATTACAGTTCGTTACAGATCGATGTACACCGGTGCGAACACTATTTTCTGGATCTCGCGAGAATGGATAGAAATTTCGTTGCGTGAAGGAATGCGTACAACGGGAACGAAAACAAATCCCAACACTGGAGTCACGATACGTTTTTTAATCGTGGAGATGGTGTATAATCACATCGATGCGTGAGTACTGCGTGTGTGATAAATAATATAAATATATATATATACAAAATATAAATATAAATATACATACGTATAGACGTTTATTGGAAAGTGTGTAACGAAAGCGGAACGAGAATAAGCGGCAGAGAGAAAGTGTCGTGTGTGCCCGTGCGTGTGAATATACATATAGGTTTAACGATACTGTGTAAACGCATTATTAAGTACCTATCACTGCCAGTTCGCGCCGATCCGAGCCGAGAGAGGACGAAGGAGCGTATTCTTTTCTTCTTTCCTTTCTCTTTGTCAACACTTTTTACACGAGCCGCCGTTTTCCCGGGCCCTGTTTTGCGCCGCGAACGAACGGACTTCCTTACGTCGTCGGATCGCCGTGATCTGGCTCGAAAAACGACGTTTACGGCCAAGGTTTTTCGTGCCAAAAGACGATATCTCTCCCGAGAATGGACGCCGTCCGGTGCTGTACTGATACCAGAAAAGGAAACGTAAGCTTCTTTAACTTAGAAGGAGTAAAACAAAGCTGAATCAAAATTCTGCAATCTCTATTCTAAAAATCTAGATGTTCGATTAAGTTTTTCTTTAATTAAAACCATTGAATTATCAGTTTTTATATGATGGTGTGACATGAAATGCAATATGAAATGTATTTTATTTACATTCCTTCATAATTTATTAAATTCCACGATTCTAAAGGTGTATCAAGACCGAAAATCAAAAAACGCACATATACATATTTTTTTAAAGGTGAAAGAGATACTCTTTTAAAATTATGGATATTTCTCTTTCTTTATATATAAACTAAATACAATCAAAGCTGTATTAATTCTAATTATATAAATACTTATATGAAAATGTTTCACGTCTTTATCACGTTGATAAAATGAATCAAATGCTTGAACATAATTCTTAGGCCTTTTAAACGGAATCAAAATTGACGAAATCAAACTACCGAACAAACAAGTGATTGTTTTTCGAGTACCATTACAGCACTTGACGAGGCAAGGAGAGACGTCGCGGAGTCAAATTGCGTGTTGCGACGTATAAAACTATTTTTCTGGAACAGATAGCCCTTCAACTAACTTCCGTTCACGTTTGCTTAATTGACAAGCTGCCATCGAATACACGATTAAAAAAAAAAGAAGTCGATCAATTGCTTATAAACTTTAATAACCATTCGTTTCTAGCTTAACTCATTGAAGCTCAAATAACAAAACTATACAGAAAAATCAAATGGCAATTATGTTGCTCAAAAAGAGTAGAACGTTACATTCAACAGAAAATCAATTCATAAAAAATTGTCCATGATTTGATACAATTATTTGTATTTTTGTATAAAGTTGCGTATACTTGAATTTCATAAAATCTAAGAATTAAATAATGAGAAAAATAAAATCCATGAAAAAGCAATTGTAGATAAATTCCAACACGAACTCTTGATGTGTCTTCTCATGCTTTTGATTGATTCATTAAGGATGTATTGGCTATACAGTCAATCCCAAACGTTTATGCACTGTAGAAACGCATTTTTTAAAAAGAAATCAGACATCGGAAAAACATTGCTAATAATAAACAACAACAAAAAATTTTCGATTTTTCCGAGATTTTTCCAAGGGGTACCCCTTCAATTTCTTCCAAATTTTCGTTTTTGGCCAATAACTCTTAAACCGTTGGAGATACGGGAAAATTGCATACGACCTTTTTTGTAGAGCTCGATGAGATCTATAATTTCTATAT